AAGCAGCTTCTTCAGTCTGAAAAAGTTGGTTAGGGGGACCCCATAAAAGTCTTCCAGGGTGACTGTGTTTCTTACTAGCCTTTACACAAGAGGATGGCCCAGCACAGGAGGAGCAACAATACAGGACCAGAATCAGCAGTTTACCTTTATCTAAAAGAAAAAGGACACTCATTTGAGGACAACAGTGTTCACATTTTGGACAGAGAAGATAGGTGATTTGAGAGAGGAATGAAGGAATCCATTTATGCCAAAGTGGAAAATCCTTCCCTCAGTAGAGGTGGAGGCCTCAGACACAACTTGTCCCCCATTTCCAGGCTGTCCTTTCAACAGTCCCCAAGAAAATTAAGAACAGTTCAAAAGTCACCAGGAAGGCAATAATTAACATCCTCCTAGGGATGAGTGAGGGATTAGGAGTAGACATCTACATTTCAAAGACTCTACTAATCACATCTCCTATTGTCCCTCAATGAGCCTATCATGCTAGTAAGAAACACAGCCACCCAGGAAGACTATGGGCTCCCCCTAACCAACTTTTTCAGACGGAAGAAGCTGCTTGGACAAGTAGCGAAATGTCTGTACCAAAAAAGAAAAGTCCAGTTGCCATGACTCAATCTCCAGACAAGATTGCTTTTGCTTTGTGGAAGAGAACAGCCACATACACGTCTCCAAGTTCTTAGTCACGTCCTCCAAGGCAAGACCCTGAGTCAAGAAAGATCACTTTAGCATCAATGCTTCAAAAGAAGGAATGTTTTATCACCTCAGATGACACTCTGCCTTGCACACCCGTATTAAATAAAGGCATTCTCCAGCTGAACTTTTGCTTCTATGTATTCATGAATTAGAAAACTGCTCCTCGTTGGTAAAAAGAAGGTCCTAATTCAAGCCCCAGCATCTCCTCTGGAGATCTTTTGCTGGTCAGTATAGAGAAAAATGAGCTAGTGGGATCAAGCATCTGCTTGGTGAAAGACCAGTTTTAGTTTCTAGTGGCTTGGAAAGCAATCATTCTTTCTGAGAAGGAGAAACAAAGAACTTTCAATGGCTGCTTCTTCCAAGAGGTGGATCACAAGAGGACCATCATCAGCAGGAGCCCAGAGAGAGCGAGGAGGAGACATCCTGTAGGCTGGGACACCTGGCTGGCTGGCCGGCAGTTAACATTTATGTCAGCTTTATCCGTATCAAAGAAGTCCAATTTCCCAGAGCGTAAAGCATTACAGCTAGGCTCAGTTATGCAGCCCTTTAATGTGATGCTCTTTTCTAGATATGAAAAACATGAAGGAAAGTCACACACAGCCTGGTGATTATGACCCAAAGAAGTCCATTTATCCACTTAATGGCTGGTTAACAACACACTAATCTTTCATCCTGGCTAACCAAATGCCATGGCTATATTCACAGAACATGCTATACCTAAACCAATCAACCCTATCATAGTTTAACACAGTGTTTCTCAACCTTGGGAACTTTAAGATGTGTGGACTTCAACTCCCAGAATTGCACAATGCTTAACATCTTAAAGTTCCCAAGGTTGAGAAACACCGGTCTGACGTGAAGGTCTGGTACAGGTAACATGATCAAACAATGGTTAGGTTCCCATAACCTCTGAACCACAAACAAGCCAGCTCTATTTTAGCTTAGAGTTGTGTGCTGTGAGAACCCAACCAATATATATACTACTTTAATAATAAGTTCAACGTTCTTAGAAAAATCAAAACTGTACACAGCAGTAGAGCTCTGAAGCCCTTGAAGGGTCAAAAATAATGCTTCAAAAAGTGCATCCACTCACTGAAAATGTTGCCAATTCCTCATTTAGGTGATTGTGAGCCAGCAGACTAGGTTTGTTCATGCTGAATCACTAATGATGGTTTATTGAATAAACTGTAATAGCCTGGGCCATACAACAAGCTAGGGTATACAATGGTTTGGAGCCCTTGAGAGGATTAATGGCATCATCTGTATAAAGCATCATGGTTTAAAATTATTTTAAAATGATTTAAAAATGATAATGGCTAAACCAAAACTTCACGATGGTTACGTTCATACCTCACATTTATTGATTTTACTAGGCTTATATATTTTATATTATATATTTGCTCTAGTTACTGAATTAATCTGTTCCCCGAGTTTGCACAATACACAGAGCTGTAAAACAACTCTGTGGGCGAGGTGCACAAAACACCCTAAGCCACAGAGACCCACAGAGAAACATAACTGAGGTTAAATGAAACCAGGTGTACAGATTTGTAATTCATTGGGTTAAGGGTGTTGTATGAATGCAGCCAACATGTTTTAGGGTGATGTGTGAACCTATTCATAATATAGCATCAGAATTACCAGGATATTTATGCACCGTCAAATCCAGACAGTGATTTTCAGATCCAGTACACTTGGCTATCTTCGTAGGGCATGGCTCCAACTCAGAATAGCAGGCTGGGCAGTATTTTCCATTGGCTGTCATGTTTATTAGTGGCCCTGAAAAGAAAATCAGCCCAATTAATTAAATCAGAGCTTCTGAACTCAGTAACAAACAACCCTCTTGGGACAATTAGTTCCATTGGTTTTCTAGGCAACTAGACATCTATCATCAATGGTTGCTATGAAAGTGCCTCCTGTATTTTATAGCAGCCTTACACACCTCTTGCAACACACCAGTGTTGGACCTTATCAAGGCATAGAGCAAGACCCATGTTCACCAAGTTGGGATTCATTGCTTCCCATGATCCCAAGATCAGAGGCCAAAAACAGTGATCTCACCAGCCTGAATGACGCCATTAGCTAAAACCACTTCTCTACTGATTATAGAAGGGAAGAGATGCAGGTTTGTAGAGCAAATGTTAATAATACAGGGCAGAATAGGCTAAAGTATCTTCCCCTGGACCCAGACGTCGATGAAGATGGGAGTGAAAATGTATACCCCTGTATGTGCATGTTTATGTTTCTAGGCATTCACCAAAATGGTTACAGTTCTGGCTCACCATTGCCCACTTTCCTAAAACTATTGATGCAACCATCAAAGGGGCCTATAACTACCCAGAAAAAATTGCTTACCCCACTTGCAAAGGGCAAAAACATTAACATCTAATTTGGGATTCAAGGATTGTCTCAAAGATAGGAAACCTGTAGCCCCCCAGATCATTCTGAATTACAGTACCCAGCAGCCCCAGTCAACATGGCCCATAGTGGGGAATTCTGGAAGTTGAAATTCTTGGAGGACCTTGGCAACTTCCATACCCTTTCAGTTGATAAACACTGCTGGTTCATCAATGAAGGTTTGGAGTGCAAATCATTTCTTACCCTGTTGGATTGACATCATTGGCAGGGAAAAAGTTAAAGAAGAAGAGACCTACATGGAGGAGAATCTTCTTTACAGTCTTCTCCTAAGCAACACAGGGTGCTTTTCCTGTGGAACTCTCCTTGGCCAAAGGTCACCAAAACAGATGCAGAGCTGCAGTTCTCAGAGACGTAGCAGCCTTTTTCTATAGTTGACATGGTTTTTCCTCCTACCAAGAGAAAAGATTTCATATTCTAAGATGTTTGGGTCTTCACCTAGCCTAGCTGTGCACAAAGAGAGCTTTTGTGGAACTCCTTCTGTAGCTCAGGACCTCAAAACTCAGCAGTAGGACACTTGCTTGGCATCAAGAAGGCTCCCAGGTCGATTACTGGCATCTCCAGGTACAATCAGAAAGGTTTCACGTCTGCAACCTTGGACAGTTGCCTTTAGGTGGACCAGCAAAAGAACTCAAGTTGAAGGCAACTTTCTATGCTTGGATCATGCTCTTTAGGTAACAGACTTCAAGAAGCATACTTATTACTACTGTTAATATTTGTATTTCTAAATCCTCCAATAGTCACAGTTCTGTAGGTAATGCTCAAATAAATACTAAAATAAAACATTCTATAATAAAATGTATTATAGAAAAGACGTAGCTATCTCAAAGCAGAGAAAAAAGGGGGTGCCAGAAAAGAGTTTCATACATGTATTTCTTGCACTCCTTGCAGTGATATTCCATTTTTGCTCTGAGAACTGAAGGAGGCATCATTTTAATCCACAGCAGTCACGCATGGGAGGTTGGACTGAAAGGATTGGCCCAAAGTCAGCCAGTGAACACCATGGTCAGGCAGGGCCAGAATCTAGTCCTGTTAGTCTCAGTTCAACCCCTTAACCTAATCCTACCCACCAACTGGCATGGGGTGTACTTTTGAGGACAAAAATAAAAGATTGTAGGGGGTAAAATTGGGTAAATAGGTCTACTGCTGAACCTTTTGCTCACCTTTGGAGGTTTCAGTCAATGTGATGACGCAGATGTCCTCACCAGATTCGCACATCTCTTTTCCACTCAGGCAACTATTCCTACTGGCAAAACATGTTTCACACTCCAAGGAGGCACCTGAAAAAGTGAAATGGCCCATCAACCTTGCAGGGCAGATACTTCAGCTATGCATCAACTAAGTCTCTTAAAGGCCTTGTGGCTGCATTCATACATCCAACATGCTAATCTTGTGGTTTGAGGTGTGTGTGTATGGATGTGTGTGTCTGGCTTAGCATGGTGTATGAACCCGGACTGTTAGGTTAATTTATGGTGAGATGGACAGTACAAATTCAGAAAATGGGTTAATTCATTAACCAGGTGAAGACAACAACTTGATCTTGAGAAATCTGAATATGCTCTAGATTTGATTTTCACCTCCCAGGGCAGCATGAAGATTGGAACTAATTTATCAATCAGTAGCTTCAAGCCTTTTTAATATTCTGAGAGGTTCATGCACAGAACTGTCATTTAAGCCTCCCCACCTCAGCGTCTCATTGCATCTTATATCTGTGTAATCTTCTGTCCATTATATTTTCCATGGAATCAATGTCCCACTAAATGGGAGACTGTAGGGAAACCCAAAATACAGAAATAGTGCCAATTATTTAGATTTTAACTGATACATTTTGCTAGCTTGAATTACTTTAAAAATCTCCATCTGATGATTTTAACTTGTAAAGGATGGTTGGGATGACTATGCACCCCTTCCTAAAAACAGTCCTGGGCAGATTCTGTACCTTCCAAACATGGTCATTCCATTCTCAGGTTTTAAAATGTCATTTATATTGCAAAATCTCTGAAGTGGGGCAACAGCCAGTTTTGCTAGGAAGCTAAGTAGAGCTGGATGCTGGAAAGGAAACTAGCAGAAAATCCCAGGATTAGGGGCTCAATATATTTAAGTAGTCATCAAGAGTGAAGCTTGACCTGGAGGAGACTTTTCATTATTGAAATGCTTTTGGAAAGACGATTTAAGATTTTGTACGGAATGCCATCATGCCTGACTGAAATGCAGAAGTGGGTGACCAGTCCCTGAGACACCTAACCTTCTATGGCCAAGGGGCAATCTTGTTGGAGCACAGCAACAGGTTAGGACAATACATTCCTGAAGAAATCTTGTTCTACCTGGCCCTCCAGTGAATAGGGAGTCAGTACTTACCAACAGATGGAGTCATTGTTGGTTCTGCATCCTTGGATTCTTGGCTCTGAGGATTCAGCATCACTTCAGCTGGAGTTGAAGTATCAGGAAGAGTCCGGTTCCTTGTATTTTCTTGTGTCTCTAAACAAGCTAATATAGGATTGGCTTTAGTTACATCTTCTACAGGTTCTTCTGACCTCTCTGGTGGATTGCAAGCATGGACAGCTAGTCAAGTTCTGGGCACCTGTGGGGCATCTAGTCTGGCCTGCCTTGTCATCCAGAAAGAAAGATGGAGTTGGAGACGTACATTGTGCTGGGATTGGGGATGGCTCGCCTCTCCTCTTACATCTGCTACCTGCTCCCATCTTGGGTGGGATGTTGTCTTGAGTAAGTCTGTGGAGGTCTCTCTACTGTCTGCCAGAAGTGTTTGATCCTCAGAGTTTTCTCCAGTTAGGGAGACAATCCCATCTTCCCTTTCCCAAAGTATCTTTTGTTAAGTCCAATAGTCACCATAGCCACTACTACCAATCTGTGGCTGCAGATGAAATCATTGGGGCAGGTTGACCAAGAAAAATCTCTACGGTGTTGCCACTGAGTTCATAGTAGAACTTGAATGGCCCTGCTCAACTCCAGTGCTCTCTTGGTCTGAGAAAGAAGCCAGCTAATACGCTGCAAGAAGCCACAGGACTATGCAGTCCATACAGCTGTTCCACTTCTATATGCGTGAGGATGTTGTATGATGTCCACTAAGTCAGTGATTTGATCTGATGTTTCAATGTAAAAACAATTCCACTGAAAATTCCAAATCAACCCTACTTTCTAAACTGGATCATCAACTTGAACTGAATTGTCAGATTGGGTACCTCTGACTCACCCTGACTATTCATGTATGCACACAAACACTCTTTTTTCCTGAATTGAATCAGTTTATTGGATTGGATTGGCCTGACTCAGTGATGCAGGATTTGAATCAACTCAAAACCAAAACTGACCCAATCAACATAACTCTAATCTACCCCATTCTGCAAAAAAAACCCCACAATTGCTTCAGTTGAATATAATGGAATTGTGGAAAAGGTCTAAGGATTTCAAGGTCACCTTCACATGGTGACAAGGGACAACAGATGGATTTCACTCAACATCTATTTTCTCTTACATAATCTGCATGATCTCCATGTCTCCCATCCTACTTTGAGTGGGCTCCCTCCAAATTTTCAGGAATACTAGAGAAAAAAAGAGTATACTTGTGTGCTATCTTGGTCTCTCCAGAGATCAGTCTTCTTCAGCTTGGTACCTGTCAGCCTTACAAGATAGACCAGATCAGGAAACTAACTCCACAAAAAGACTAGAACTATATTTCATTGAGATAGGCTCTAGTAACAGAATCTTGCAAGGCTGCCTGGATTTTCCATTCCCTCCCTCTTACCCCAAGGGAGTTGTGGGGGGAGCCAGTCTGGGTCTTTTTCTAATATTTTCCCATCCCCGGGGCTTAACACATGCTTCTTCTGGGCCTGTTGTTGTCCTAACTGCTTCTGGCTTCTTCAAGGTCATCTCCACGTTTTCCTACAGCGTGCTGGAACTTTCAACACCCAGAGTTCCCCACCTAGCATGAGCCACACTGGATGGGGAATTCTGGAAGGTGCCAAGTTAGAGTAGGCGTACATTGGAAAGAGCTTCAATTATGCAAATATTGGATCTGCTTATGCCTGTCTTAAGTCTCAATAATAGAACAGAAGTTTCCCAGCTGTTGGGGAATTATCAGATGTTTCTTACCAGTAGTAAGGAGTACCGAAATGGAAAATAGTGTCAGAAGAGCTTCCATAATGATGATCTTGGAAGATGAAGAATGCAACTGCTCACTGCAACTGCTCTTGCAGTGGGGCAACTTCTATGTCCTAAATGTAAACCCAGGAAAATAGGTATTTATTCTCCTTAAGAAACCAATGTTTTGCAGAAAACATTT